AACCCACCAGCTGCTCTATGGGAGAACGATGAGGCAGTCTGCTTTTGAAAAGATTTACAGCCTTGGAAGCCCTGTGGGGCAGTTCTACCCCTCCTATATGGTCACTATGAGTAGGAATCGACTCCACAGCAGAGGGTTTGGTTTGGTTTTGCTAGGAAGGAGACATTTCCAGATTTGGAGGTAGAAGTTATGAGATGTAAAACCCTTTTCCCAATGAGTATACTTGTGTAACCTTCTATATTAGATATATTGAGATTTCACGTGGAATACAAGAGATTATTTTTTTGCCTTTAGAAAATTTTGAGCTACTGTGGATGGATTTTGGAAGCAATACACTTTTTTATATTTGGGAAAATAACATGAGGTCAAAATTCAAGTATTATTTCAATATTCTTCATTCTTTCCAAAGACTATCATAGATTAAATAATGAGCTTATAATACTTTAGCAACTTTCTAAAGCTCATATAGCCTTGGAAGGAAAATTTTTTGAAAAGATTCAACTTTATGTTCTTAAAAATCATTGCTGTTATCTTAAATCTTGATTCTCCAGTTAATTTTTTTTTAATATTTCCATGAAGCTAATGCACATCCTCCCTTAATTCCTTCTCAAGTATACTTAATGGATGAGTGCAGATGATTAAATTTCTTAAGTCAGTTAGAAATGAAAATTCAACACCAGCATCTAGGAAAAGGAACTAGGAAATTCACTCATAAGAACTTCTTATCTTTAAAATGTGTTTAAGTCCTATGGTTTTCTGTGTCTCTTAATAGCTCCACCATCAATGTCTCTTCTGGGAGCCATAGATAACAATCTACACCATATCATCATCATCATTATGACTAACATTAATTGATTGTGTGGATTATGTACCAAGCACTTTCTTCTCTCATCTAATCCAAAGAAGGAGTTCTGGTGGCCTAGGGCCTAAGTCATTTGACTGCTAAGGCATTTGACTGCTAACCAGAAGACTGGCAGTTCAAACCCACCAGCCACTCCCCAGAAAGAAAGTTGGGCAATCTACTTCTGTAGTGATACAGTCTCAGAAACCCAAGGA